CGATGTCTTCCTCAACTCTGAGGTTGGCATAGGGTTTTGCTCCTTTGCAGGGGAGTTTTCAGTAACATTCATTGTGCCTTTGTCTCTTGTTTTGCTCTTGGTCATTGTACTTCTGGTTAGCAGATTCTTCTCCTTGGGGCAGGTTTCTGAGCTGCACCACCCACAGGCTTACAGGTTGATTTTACTTATTGCAGTTGGTATTGCAGTTTGTTTGCAGTCAGCTGTGCCACTCCCTCCAGTGAGTTCCAGGTCTGGGTTCTTATGTTAGATTTCCACCATGGTCTCTGTAGCCCCAGCTCCTGGCTCATCCACTGTCTCTTGCCTGTAATACCATGCTGAGTCTGCACCGTTGTTTCTGCAACCTTCCTCCCACTTCCGGTTGGAGCAGGTCCCAGGATTAAGGAGACACCAGGTGTCCTATATAGCTAGGTTGTTGGTGGCGCTGATCTTGCTGGAACCTGTTGGCTGTTAGGTCTGAGGGCCACACGGACCTATTTTGATTCGTATGAAGCCACAGTCGGTATTATTTTCCTGCGGGACCAGTGCAATCCACTGAGCTAAGCTGCTGCAATGGCTGATGCTGTGCCGACCCGAAGCCAGGAGTCAGGAGTCTCTTCCAGGTCTCCCAAACAGGTGCAGGGTTCCAAGGCTTTGGGCCGTCCTTGAGTACTTTCCCAGGCCACAAGCAGGGAGCTGGATGGGAAGCTTGACCGCCGAGATTAGAACTGGCATATATATGGGATCCCGGGGGTGCAAGAAGAAGACTTGAGCCACTAGGCTACCTTGCCAGGCCTTGGCAATATTCCTTAAACTGACAAAGGAGGAGCCGAGGGCCCTGCAGGGTACAGGGGAGCTCCAGGGGGCCTCTGGGCTTTTGCAGCAGCTCAGAGAGGCAAAGGAGGGGAGGAAGAGGTGAGGCGGTTGCCCTGCAGACCCCAGAGACCACGGTAGGCATCCTATTAGTGAGGTTTCACAGGTGGCTGATGCAGGCTAGCGAGAGCCCACATATGCTGGGAACTGAATCTTGGGGTGGAGGTGAGAAAAACCTCAGGTCTGAAACTGCTCCCCAGGCGGAAGGTTTTGCTGGGGTTGGGGAACAGTGGGGTCCAGGGTTCTAGGCCAGATTCCAAGGGACCCAGGCAGCTCTCCCTGGCCCTCTCTCCCTCTCCCCTGCCTGTCTAATGGGGGCTTCACCCAAGCCCCTCTCAAGGCACCCCACCACGAAGAAGGAGGACGCGTTGTCAAGGGTCAAGCTGGGTTTTGATCGAGGTTTCCCGGCAGCTGCCATGAACAGTCCCCCCATGAGTTCATTCAGAACTTTCCTTCCCATGACATCCCCCAGAGTCACTTTCCCAGAGGGTGGGGGTGGTGGGGGTGGGAGGAAGGCAACTGTGACTCCCACTGCCCCACTTCCTGCAGCTCAGCTCAGGGTGCGGAAACTGTCCCCGGCTGACGCCATCACCAGCACCTGTCACCTGCTCAGTCATTTGTGCCGCCAGGGAAGCCCACTGCAGCCCAAGATACACGCCCCCCCAACACTAGACTGTACTGCCAGGTCTCCCCAACACACCATGCCGCCTCCCGGTACCCATCCAGGTCTCCCTCTTCCCACCAGGCTCTTGCACCACTTGGCTTCATTGATGTGATGCAGCTTTGTTGTCTGTCCAGCACATCCTCCCCCACCACTGTGTCTGGCAGCATCTCCTCGAGATTGGCAGCTGGACAGAGTTTGGGTTGGAAGTCCAGGGGCTCAACACCCAGAGTGCTATGGAAGGCAGGGTAGCAAGGGACCCAGAGGAATGTAGGTAATCCAGGGGTGGGTGTCCCCAGGCCAGGGAGACAGGGGGTCAGTAGCCAGGGCAGACTGAGGCATCTGCTGAGCTGGCAGGCACAGGTCTGCTTGGCACGGACTGCTGGGCCTGGGCAGCCATGGGGCAGACTGGAGTGCAGGTTATTTTTAGTTCTTTGTTCGATCCGAGAGGCAAGGACGCTCAGGGCTACAAGCCCTTGTCGGTTTGGGAAAAACACGGAGGCGGCCCCTGTTTCCCGCTCCCCGGAGTTGTGGGCGTCCAGAGCATCCTCACTGGTCCCCAGGGACTAGAGCTCTGAGCTGGGAGTGGATTGAAGGTACCCAGAGATGCAAACACCCATGCCATCTGCTTCCTGCTCCGGAGGAAGTGAGAAAACCTCTTTGGGGATGCTCAATAAAGTGGTACAGTGACCCGCATCCACGGAGAAGCTGCCCCTGCTGGATCTCAGGCAAGTCCTAAGCCAGATACAAAGGTATGGAGGGGCTGTTAGCACGCAGGGACGACTGCCGGGGTCAGGGAGTGAACGTGTCCTGGTCCCCGAGAGCGGTGTTGGTGGGGAACCACTCATCCAGCCAGCGAACAGCACCCGGAGCACCTGCTACAACCTCAAGTTCAGTGACCAGAGCCTCAGCTGTGAAGCACACAGCCAGCATCCTGAGCCAGTGCTGCGACGGTACTGCTTGGGACATCAGTAACCCACCTCAAAGCACGTCCTGGCTGCCCCAATCCACTTCCAATCCAGCTCCCTGGGAAAGCAGCAGAAAACAGCCCAAGTGCCCGAGCCCCTGCCACCCTCATGAGAGACCCAGAGCTCCTGTCCTCTGGCTTCAACCTGGCCCAGCTCTGGCCACTGCAGCTATTTGAGGAGTGAATGGGAGGATGGCCTCTCTCTCTTTTCTCTCTCTCCCGTTCTGTGTCTCTTGCTGGCACTCTGCCTTTCAAATAAACCTTATAAAAAAAAAAAAAAAAAAGGAAGAAAAAGAAAAAGCCCAAACCCCCAAGCCTCCCAGAGCGTGCGTTCTGCCACAGATCTGACTGTGGGAACTACAACACATGTCACGCATGAAACTAAATTTTCCAGATGTCACATGGGGCAGAAGTTTAAAGAAGTAGGTGAAATCTGTTTTTAGAGTACATTATATATATATATCCCAATGCTATTTCAATGTGCAGTCAATATAACAACATGAGATAAAGCCCTTTCTTCCCCCGCCAGCACCCCCATCCCACTATGCTTTTGAAATCCAACGTGTCTTTTATCCTGCCAGCATGCCTCCATTCACACAGGCTGCATTTCCAGGGCACAGCAGCCCCGCAGGGAAGGCAGTACTAGGGGACATTGCACATCTGAACTAGGAGATGGAAATGCCACAATCGATTAGTGATGTCTGCTATGGGCACCAGCTGGCTCACATTGTACGGGTTCACTTTTTGCCTGACCTAGAAAGGCAACCCTTCTGGGTGCCAGGAGCAGGGAGCTCCTGGTGACTGGACTCCTGGGCACCTTTCACAGGGAGACCCGGGTGTGGACCTGGGTTCTCTGGCCTGCTCAGAACTGGCTGGTGGCCATGGGTGGCCTTGAAAACACAGGTTTTGTTTTTGTTTTTTGTCCCAAGGTTTCTTCCTCCCAATTCCCACAAAGCGGTGTTTCCTGAGCCTGATTTAGCCACAGCAGCCCCACCCTGCCAGACCACACAGACCTCCTGTCTGGCACCCACCCCAGCCAAATCAGCTTTCTTTCTTTTTTCTAGATCATTCAAAAGTAAACTCTGGCCATGACGGCAGAAGGTGGAATGCATGGGCTGAGGCAGGCAGGTACGCACCATTCCCAACCATTTATCTCATCACCTATAGCCCACTTGCCCAGAGGCCTTCTGTGGTTCCCTGGTACCTACAGGGTTAGGATTCAAGGTTTCACTCTCAAGATGTGGCACGGATGGAATGGTCCCATGTCACCTCCAGCTACTCCCGAGACAACAAGAAGCACAGCTCCCATGCCCACCTCCCACTTGGAACCATCACACCATTGTTCTCCAACCCCATGCCTCCTCTCCTATCAGGCTGGCTGCCTGGGCCTCCACAACAGAGCTGCAGCTGCTTTGCTTTGAGCAAGCCCAGGCAGCAAAGGGTGGAGGAATTCAGGAAAAGTCCAGGCCATTCTGAAACCTCTGTCCCCAGTGCCTGGCAGAGGGAGCGGCCATTGCAAGAGGAGTTCCAGTGAAGGAAGCGAAGGATTGATGAGAGCCAGGGAGAGTATGCAGTCCCTGTGAGTTGATCCAGGAAGGCGAGGCCAGCCCCCAAGGGAGAGGGCACGCAGGACGATGAGTGGATGGGAACGGATCTGGGCGCCCCTGAGAGCCATGAAACAGGAGGGCCCCCGCAGAGGCTGGCTACCGCTGGGAGAGCTTTCACAGTGTGAGGCTGCCTCCTCCCAGAGAGAGGACGCAGTGGGCAGAGGACAGAGGCACAGGCCCGGCATTCAAGAGGCCAGCGCCTGTCTCTCAAGTGACATGGGGTCTTGCTCATCCCCACGAGGCCCCAGCTTCCAGGCTGCTGGCCCTTCTCAGCAAACAGGGCCTCTCCTGGAGCTCTCCTCCCAGCTACCCTCATTTACATGAGATTTACATGAACTCATTTCATGCCTGGATGCACACAGCTTCCCACCCAGCCAGCCTGGGCCCAGGACAAAGAAGTGTGTGTGATCTCCCTGGAGGTCACCCTGCAGTCCAGGGGTGTCACCTTTGCTCCATTGGCCATTCCTTCTGCCCTCTGCCTGTTGCCAGCTAGGTACTGGCTGGTGGAATGTGGGGAAAGAAGTGAGAGGTGCAATTCCAGTCCTGGGGGGTCCACCGGAAGCTGGGCTCTGACGCAGAGGGGAGCGGTCTCAGGTGTGCCATATGTCCACCCAGCTGTGACTGTTCAGAAACACAGCCACCACAGGCAGGGGAGACGCTCTGGTGGGTAACTGGGCTCCCCCCCCCCCCCACACGCTACTCCATGATCGGCCTCCTGGCTCTCCTTCCTGCACAACCCTTGCCCAGACCCCTACTCTGCCAGGGGCCAGCCAGGCCTGAGGACCCAGCCTCAGTTCCTTCTGTCACCTCTTATCCTGGGCTCCACCCTCACCCTCTCCAATCAGGGACATTCCCTCCACCCACCTCCTTTTTCAAAGCAAACAAGAGGCAGGGGTAAATAAATAGCTCGTTTATTAGTAATATGTTACATTATTAAAGTGCATTGAGAAGAGATGCAGGGGCCGAAGCTGGAAGGCCGCCAGTCCCCGGGCCCAGCCCTGGGCGGCCAGACCCAGCTGGAGGATGGCCCACCCTCTCGGATGAAATTCATGGACAGGGCTGGGGGCCCAGGGGGTGGGGACAGGGGTGGGACAGGGCCGTCCCCACGGAATTTTCACAGTTTAGCTTAAGTTATGACATGTCCTGAGCTGAAGGTGGGAGGTTAGGAGCATGGAAGCGCAGCCCCTGGGGAAGGGGGCCCAGGGGTAGGGAGGCAATCCCTGCCCCCCCACCCCCAACGCCAAGGGCAGAGTCCTGGGACCTCCCGCTGAGGACTTGGCTCCGTTTGCAACACCGACCGACTGACTGAGGGTCTCATTCTCTCCACCCGTCCCGCTCTGTCTTCCTCATCTGACCCGGTCCACAACCACCTCTCTCCTGGTGGGGGAAGGGAAGCGGAAGGAATGGCCCGGACAATGTTCCCTGGGTCCAAGTTCCCAGGGCTGGGCCAGCACCTGCCACCCTCCCTGAACCCACTTGCGTCTCTGGACCCTCATCCCACCCCACTCCCCATCCCCCCTCAACCCTGACCTGGGGAGCCTCAGATGGGGAGGAGTGGAGAATCCGCTACCCCACCCCCAACTTCCTCCCCGGGGCCCCCACCCCCCACCCCCAGCAAGGGATTTTGGTATTTTTCATACGGATGCAGTCGGAAGTAGCTATACATGAAATAAGTCTAACATAAAAATAGAGCTTTTTCCGTCCTTCCGTCCGGAAAGCAAACATCCTTCAATAAACATGCAAGGCGGCCGGCCGGCGGTCGGCACGACCCCATGGCTGGGCCAAGAGGGCCCGGTCTGCAGGAGAGGCTGGTCACCCAGCCGTTAGGGGGACAGGGGATGCAGGCAATGGAGGAAGGGGGTCCGGAGGGACCCAGGCCTCAGCCTCAGGACGAGGCATGGTCCCCCACTGTCCCTTCCACTCCCGGCTCCCTGGCCAGGGGCTGGCTGGGGGCATGGCTGCCCTGGATCAGGGATAAGAAGCTTTTGAGAAATGTTCCCGGCTTATCGTGCTGCAGTCTTGAGGTCACTGCCTTATGTTCCAGGACCCCCGCCCTGCCATCCCCTCTCCACATGGGATCCTACAGCCGCCTGCGGCTCAGCCGGACATCCCCAGGGTGGGATGGGGGGCGGTGGGCTCATCCATCCCTAGGGGATGCAGCAGCAGCAGGCAAGGAGCTCTCAGGTGGTTGGGCAGCCTTTGAGGAGCAGATTTTTTTCTAGAAGTCCACCACAAGGACTGGGGAAGCCACACGGCACCTCCTTCCCACTCCCCACCAGCCCTCTCCCTACCCTAGAGGTTCTAGTGGGCCAGCAGGCCTAGAGCTAGTGTGGGCAGGATCCCCAACCAGAGGGAGGTGGCCAGGGTGCAGCCGTGGCCCAAGAGATGCTCAGCTAGGGCGCGGTCCTCGGGCAGAAGCTCCCAGTGCTGGGCCTCATGCAGGTAGGAGCCCTCCTGGGCCTCGCAGCGGTAGTGGCCGTACTGGCGGGCCGTGAGGTTCTCAATGAACAGGATGCAGCTGGGGCTCTGGTGGCCCGGCTCGCAGCTCTGCTCCACGCTCTCCTCATGGCGCCACGAGTAGGTGGCGTGCCGGGACTCCATGGGGCAGCTCAGATAGTAGCGGGAGTTCCGGGCCAGGGACACCTTCTGCAGCGGGGCCTCGTCTGGGGGGAGGGGGAGGAGAAGGCGACCGACCATCAGGGAAGAAGGGGGCCTCTAAGGGAATATGGGGCACCCTAACCCACCTGCTTTCCTGTTCTTTCCAGGTTCCCGCATCCGACCCCTCTAGGCTGTGTGTCCCTGGGGCTGCCTACCTGGCTTGGGGTTGGGGCACTCCTTGTGTGGCTCAGCAGGGTTGATGGACTGCAGCACTGTCCTAGGGTGGGAAGGAGACCAGGGGTGGCTCAGCCCAGCCCCTCCCTGGTCCAGTCTGCACCCCAGCAGACAGGAAGTTCGGACCAGCCCACCAACTCCATCCCCATTCCTGCAATCCTCTGCCACATACCCCTCACCACCACCACGTTCCCTGATCCACAACGTACCGCTGGGAGCTGTAGATGGAAACGCAGCGGCCCTGGTCCCAGCCACAGTAGGGGTCTCGGGCCATGAGGCAGCCATGGCAGCCCCCACCATACACCTCACACAGGTCCAAAGGCACCTGGCTCACCTCCCACTGTGAGGTCACGTACAGCTTCCGCTGGAAGAAGCAAGGTGCAGGGCTGGGGTTAGGTCAGGGGTCCCCCCACAAGGACACACACACATCACACACACAGAAGCCTCAAGACAGGGGTCAGCGGGAGAGGGGGGCTCACCCGCTCGGTGTCCAGCGACAGGGCCTGGATGGGGGCTGCTCGGTGGAAGGGCTGGATCTCCATGATGTTGAAGACAAGGGTGTGTGTTCCCTCCCCCGACTCTACCACCTTGTGAATGGTGCCCCTGTCTGGATCAGACAGAAGGTTAGTGGGCGGTGGGAAGGGGTTGGTCCTGCCACGTGGCAAGACAGCTGGTTGCATTCAGACTCTCAGCTAGGCTGAGAGTTCCAAGGAAACCCTGACTGGTGGAGGAGGCAGGGGCAGGGAACCCGAGGGCAGCCAGGTCACAGCGGCCATCTCCAGAACCCCCCAGAAGGGGCTCAGGTGAGTTTAGGGCACCTGTACCCACCCACAGAGTAGAGAAGGGCAAAGGTCAAGGTGTGTCCAGGTCCATCAGAACACCACCCCCTCTTCGCCCCTCAGCTCTTCTCTCCAGCCATCCCATCCCCTCCCACCTGCTCCCAAGACGACGCAGAAGGTGCATTGCTTTAAATAGATCTTTAATTCTGGAATAATTTCAGATTTCTAGAAAACTTGCAAAGACAGCACAGAGTTCCTGCTGCCCCTCCCCCATTTCCCTGGGTTGTGGAGGTGGGGTGAGGATGATCTTACATAAGCGGGGTGCACCTGCCACAGCTGAGTGACCATCCACCCATGGGTGAATGGCCCTAGCCATTCATAAGCCATCAACCTCACTCAGATGGCCCCCTGTCCCACCAACGCCCTTCTCCCATGCCCATCTAGAACCTTCATTTGTTCCCAGGCTCTAGGACACCGCAGCCAGTTGGGGACAGCAGGGGAAATGTTTTGATACAATCTTAGATCTGAGAAGGACCTCAGGGTCCACCTCAAGGTCCCCAGGCACCAGCCTGGGTGGTTGCCTGCTACCATGTCCGGGTCTGTAACCGTCAGGGACTCACTGGGCATCCTGACCCTGGTGTTCCCAGCCCCCTTCCCTGCTGCCCTAATTTCTAGACTCTCCCTCCCTCCCTCCCCCTCCAACTTCCCTGACTGTTCCCTGACTGTCACCTGCTCTCTGAAAGCAGTCAGATGACTGCCTGCCAGGGACACTGCCTTCACACACACACACACATCCTGCCTGGCACTTTCTTCCCCAAACTGCCCCCAGGAACAGCCTCCCGCCCCTGGCAATGCTCAAAGGAACAAGCGTTTCCTGGGCTCAGGAAACTTCAGCTTCCTGTTTGGCCCTAGCAGTTCCAGAGGCTATAGCCAATTTCCCTGGGCTGGGGCGGAGTGGGGGGTGGGAGGAACCACCAAGCACCTTCCCTGGGCACTGAGTGCACTGGCCAGGTGCACAGGCAGGAAGTGTGTGGGTTCCCAGGGCCCCCAGAGTGACTCTGCGTGACCCCCACCACTCCACACACCACTCCTTGGAGTCCCCCAATCCTCAGTCACCCACCACACCTGCGGTGAGTGTAAAGCAAGGACAGGGCCCCTGGGCAAAGAGGTGGGGGTCTCAGCACCTGACTCAAGTCTTGCCTCCTTTCCCATGGCTGCAGGAGTCACACCAAGGCCCGGGGGTGCAGGGCTGAGGGCTCCAGCCTTAGCTGGCAGGGTGAAGCACCCACAGAAAGTCAGACGGTGTGGGGTGTATATGTGGATGGGGGAGGGGGTGGGTGATTGAGAGAGTACCTGGGACCTGACCTGTGCAGCCCGAGGTGCACAATGGCCTCTTCTGAACCTGTACCCGGGATCCCCTCTGATCTGGGGCTGGCAGTGTGGCTACAAACCCAGCTGAGGCTGGCTCCTGCATGCCCAGTGGACACGCAGCCCACCCAGCTGCCCCAGGGAGGAGTGGGTGCCCCACCAGAGTCCTCTTACCTGCTCAATCTGGCAGCATCAACCTATAGCACCCCCCAGGGTCCAGGTCCCCCCCAGGTCTCCCATCTTGACTCTCCATCTCCCTTTCCAACAGCTGTTTCTTGGTCCAAGCTGCACCCAGCTCCACTCGGGTGCCAGACACTTCTGGCATGTGCCTTTCTCTCACTCTAGAATGTCTCCTCCAGGAAGCCCTCCCTGCCTGACCCCTGCACAAGCACACAAACACACCAGCTCCCGCCTCCTCACGCCTCTGCCAATCTGGTAGGCTGCACACTTTCCGCAGCTCTCACGTCAGGCAGGGACCCCGGGGTGGCCTCACCTGTGGTCAGGTACAGCACGTGGAAGGTCTTCCCGTGGCTGGCCTGCATGCGGTGCACGACCACCTTCTGGTAGTGGTACTTGGAGTGGAAGAGCGGCGTCTTCAGGGGCCCGAGGGGCTCCACCCTCTGAGCCACCTCAGGGTGGCTGTCAGCCACCTGGAAGGTCTCTGTGGGGATCGGCTGCTGGTTCGGAAGACACTGCAAGGACAGCAGCTCGAGTCAGTGGATTGAGCAGTGTGTGACAGGCAGGGGTGGGAGTGACACCCAAGGGTGGGGGCTACAGTGGGACCCAGCTGCACATCACGGCTCACCTTGCCAGGCCGGGGGTTGGGGAGGCTCGTGTGGTAGCCCTTGAGAGAGGACACCCGGAAGACCCTGTCGATGTCACCGAGGGAGTACACACATACGGCCGAGTAGTTCCTGCAGGGGAACAGAGCATCCTGCTCAGCTGGGCTGGCCTGGGCCACATGGGCACACACACAACCTTCCAGCTTCACCCCTTGTGCCCTGCTCTGGTCCCCAGTGATCATACTAGGTCTGCTGGCTGGGTGTTGCCCCCCAGGACCCCAGCCCAGCCAAGCCCAGAAACCATAGATGAGAATCTCAACATGGTCCCCTACACCCCCCATCACCTCACCCACACACCTGGCACTTTAGCCTGCCTTGTTTTCAATCAATGAGAGCGATTAAGAAGTGTGAATTATCAGGCACAGGCAAGGCCCCATGCGGGTGTGATAGCACCTGGCACCCACCCACGGGAGGGCGTCTGCAGCTTTTTCCTGGGACCCAGCCCCCCATCTGAGCACACCCATGCAGGCAGCAGCAGGACAGACAGGCACAAGTGCAGTCACACATGTGTACTTGGTACATGTTCACACTCCCACGTGTGCAGACTCGCAAGAGTGCGTGCTTCACACCTGACCCCAGACCCTGTGGTTTCTGCTCAGCATGGCCCACATACCACCTGGGCCCAGAGTTCAGAGCAGGGTCACTCACCAGGGGTTGGAGAAGACCCCATAAACCCGGGTGTCCTTCCACTGGCCACTGGGGTCGGGCAGCAGGAAGACATCCTGCAGCCGGTTGAAATTCTTGTTGGTGGTGGCATCGCTGCACACCAGCATGGCCTTCAGGAAGGTATTCCATTTGGAGACGGACAGCGAGCTCTCGCCACCCTGGTCACCCTACAGGACCAGCAAATGGGACGCCCTTAGCACCTGCATGCCTGGGGCACCTGCTGCCAGCAATGCCAGTCCCTGGAGGAGGGCTGGCTGGGGACAGGGGTGACCTGCACCAGGTTGCCAGGTGAGGCAGGCTCCAGCCGATGGGCCAGGCTGACCCCGGGCATGGGGCATGGAGGGGCAGCCTTGGTGAGCCTGCTGGGTCCCCACACAGCAGCAGATGGTTCAGACATGGATGTGTCTACTCACACTCACATATGGCACAGCATACAGGTTTAAGTGGAACACTCAACACTCATGTCACACCATGCTTTTGCATGTACACACACGTGCCATGTGTGTGAACATGCTCACACACATGCACTGTCACATGTACTCCTTACACACACAAACACACTCACACATGTGCTCACACATGCACATGCTGTCAGATACACACTCATATGCACAGCCACATAAATATTCTCATATATACTGTCACACACACATAGCCCTATGCAAACTCAAACATGCACAGACTATCACACACAGGCTCACACCTGTACACACAGACACAGGCATACTCACACAGGCACATGATGTTACATGCTCACACATATGCACCAACATTCTCACATATGCACACACACATATGCGGTTACATGCATACTCACACATGCACCCAGCTTTGTGCACACATAAGTACATACAGTCACACACAGGCTCACCCTGCACAGCTGGGCCACGCGGGACACATTGAGAGGGGCCTCAGGGTTCTTGTCAGGATTGTCCTCCCGGAAGAAGTAGTAGATCTTGTCATCATAGGCCTGGTCCTGGTGCACAATGGTGGCTTTGATGAACTGTGGGTCTGTCAGAGACACAGACTGGCATGAGGCCGAGAGGCCACCTCTGGGAACCCACATTGACCCTATGCTCACATCCCCACTCCCACACAACCCAGGCTCAGGGCTGAGCACACCTGGAAACAACGCAGAACGCCAGGCACCAAACCCTAAGGGGCTGCTACTCTGCTCCACCCACAGTGCTGTTCCTTACTCCCGCAAAGGCCTCAGCGGCCCAGGAGCAATGACTTCATGCCTGGGGCCCAGGAAGCTCCCTAAGGACCCCCATGTCACTGCTGCCTAATTGGCACAGCCCTAATGAGGGAGGGTAGGGAACGAGGCACGGGAAACCCTAATATGAGCTCAACCAAGGGAGACACTCAGGCTCCAGGGGACCCCATGCCAGGTCTGGAGGTGCCTGTTTTGCAGCCTGGGACTCCTTGCGTCACACCTGCCCTCTGGTCTCCTCCACTGTTCCTTGGTTCCCAGCCCAGCCAGCTCTGTCCTTTGCCCCCGTCATGTCTGCCCTGCAAGGGTGCTGATTGTGCAAGCTGTATGCCCATCTCCCCACCCGTCTCACTGGGCACCAGCCCTCCAGGAGGCCCCCCACTGCTGCCCTGAGCATCCACAGCAGCTTGTCCAACTTGGCTCAACTGGAGCCTGACTCACTCTGCATGACAGTGTCGCTGGTGTATAGCTCACTGTCACCCCGGATCCGCCGAAACCGAGGGATCTTCCCGTTGTACTCTTGCTTCCGGATCGTGGAGTACACTTCATCCCCTGGGATGCAGGGGTGGAGAGTAAGGACGTGCACCCCTCCCTCACCCTCCCTCCAGAGAGGGGGATCCTGGCCTACCTTCAAATAGAACCAGGGAGTTCTCATCTGGGCTGAAAGGGGCATAGCCTCTCATCTCTCCAAGTGGCACCACAGAGCCATTCACCTGCAGAGATGGGATAGGGGTGAGGCATCAGAGCCATGTGACCCCACCCCTGCTGTCCTGGAGCCAGGGGCCTCATCCTCCTGGGAATTCTGAAGCCTTGGAGTCCCCAGCCCCTTCCCATCCTGACATGGGCAGATCATTGCAGGTCTGGACGGGGCCTCCATACCAGGTTCCAGCAGCTGGGACGCCGGGCGTTGGTGCCACATGCAAGCAGCCCATCGTTACGTGGCTCCAGGAGCGTGATGAAGTTCTCACAGTCCTGCAGGGGGAGGGTAGTGAGACAGAGAATCTGGGGGTTGGTGGCCCCGGTGAGCCCAGCTTGAGGTAGCTCAGCATGGGACAGCTGGGAGCAGGTGCAACAGATTCCATGGGCCGTCCCTTCAGAGTGTGGACCAAAATTGCTCTCATCTGCCTGAGGCTCCCAGGGGCAGATCCTTGGTGGGATGGGGGAATCCTCCCCTTCCCGGGGGCCTTTCGTTCCCTCCCTCCCTACCTCCCTTCCTCTCCCTTCCACTCACCCGTTTGTCCTGGCAGGACACCCTGGAGGAACTGATGTTCACCTGGCAGGAGGGGACAGGGGGACTTTAGGCCACTCAGCCAGGCACAAGGGGCCCTAAGTGCCTTCCATGCAACCACAGGACAGGCCCAAGCTAAAGTGGCCTCACTCTCCCGGTCCTTCATGGCACAAAGCAGCAGAAGAGAGGGAATCATCCAGGAGCACCCAAGCCAAGGCACAGCTCAAGCATCCACAGCACTACCTGGCCAGGTGTGTGAACTCCCAGGGGGGCAGGGGAAGCAGGAGGCGGGCAGCGGGGCCCGGGCTCACCGTGTGCACGGACGCGTCCTTGCCGTCCGTGGGGAAGTTGAAGCGGTAGATCTTGCCACGTCCGCCCACCCACACGAAGGGGCTACCCGACTCGTGGAAGAGCACCGTGTGTGGCTCCGTCTGGCCAAAGTCCAGCCAATCCTGCCCTGCACGGCCTGGGGAGGAGACCAGAGGTAGAAGCGATGAGGCTTGGCCCCAAGGAAGACAAGTGGGGGGATATCCATTCCCTTCCTACCCCAGGGGTACACGGACACTGCCTGTGCTGGGTGCTCAGGGCTTGCCCAGGTAGGGTCTCTCTCACTGGGATGCCAAGAGCCACTGGCAGAAATAGGGGGGTTCCCCTGCAGGGTCCAGCCACGACCTCTCCCCAGTAGAGGAACAGCCTCTCTCTCCATCCCTGATCATCTGGGATTCTTAGGCTTAGGAGAGGGGCTGAGGGGGAACTTCCACAGCTAACAGACCTCCCTCTCCTTCCAGAGATGCAACAAGCAGCCAAGGTCACCAGGACTCCATGCCCTATCCCCAGCCCACGCTGCACCCCTTGTTAGTGGGCACAAGATCAGAGCTGGGCAGGAATCTAAACACCCACTTGCTCCCATTTCACAGATGAGAGAGTAGAAGCCAAGGAAGACACAGCCCCAGAGGCACACAGAGGCAGGTCAGGGGTGGGGCCCAAACCACACAGCTGGTGCTCCCAGGGGCCCAGCCCGTGCTCCCAGGGGCACAGCCCACACTGGCCTGGCTCCACCCCCGGAGCGCCTGAGGCTCTCCTGACTCTTTCAGCCTCCCAGAGACCGGGACAATAGAGCTCAAAAAGGAAAGTCTACAGCCACCGCCCCTCGCACCGCAGCCCTGGGAGAGGATATGTCTCATCTCCAGTGTCCCCGCTGAGGTTGTCCTGGTCACAGGGCCAAATTACAGGGATGGGAGACTTGTGGTTGTGCCCCCCCAAACCCCATCAGCCTAGGCCAGGCCTCAGCCCGGAACTCCTCTCTGATCACCGCATCTACAGCTGCAACAAAGTTCGGGGCGGCTAGCATGTGGCAACATTACCCAAGCAGAGGGCAGCAGTCGCTGGCTCAGGTCAGGGCTGCAAACACACCTCCTTCCACTCAAGGAGCAACCACCCCGCCCTCCTTCCCCTCAACCCCCCCGCCGTGGGACATGTTCAGTCCAAGGTCAAACTTCCAGATGGGACAGGCTAACCCAACCAACCAATGTGCCAACTCAGTTCATGGTCCAAGCTGGCCTGGTCCCTCGGGGCTGGCCGACTGTGGGCAGTATTGCTTGCGGCAGCCCAAGCCTCCCATCTGCCCCAGCTGTGTAGGGCAGCAGTGATTCTGTGGCCCTGGGCAGGGCTGGCCGGGTTTGGGTGCCACTCTGCTCCTGCCCTTCCTGCTAGGGTCAGCAGCACAGCCCGCAGGCAGACATGGTCCTCCTGACTCAGCGCCCAAGGCTCCTCTTTCACCCGCAGCGCGTCCTGGATCCAGACAGCCTGCAGCCCCAGTTCCCCTCCTGCTGCGCCCGCAGCTCCGCGGTCAGAAGGCTCCAGTCTACATCCAGAGACACTGGGCTGAGGGCCGAGATCCACAGTCTCCCCAGTCCCCACCCTATGAAAGCCTAAGCTCGGCAACCACCTGGGTCGTGTGGTCCCCCACACCTTGCACCTGCACCCAGGCCTTGGAGGGACTCAACATGCAACTCTGCCCACGGGAGAGAGGCAGGAGTCGCAGGGGTATCAAACGGAGGAGAGCAGTCCTACCCAGGGCAGTCCAGTGCGATGGGGGAGGCACCGCTCTGCCGTGGGAATGGAATCTGATGGGGTATCATCCTGCAGACCCCAAGGCCACTCAAAGTCTTTGCCAAGGACATGCAGGGAGGGTGAGGGCTGCTGGCTGCTGGCCGTTGGCTGCCAGCAGGAGGCTACAGTGCGGGGACCTAAACAGTTCTCTGTGGACCTGCAAGCCCCACTGGCTCAATGCGGGAGGCAGGAACTGCTTGTCCTAATATGCAGGAAGGGCAATCAGGAGCCCAGCCTTGACCTCTGACGTTGGCCCCTCCCAGTGCTGTGTGTCCAGTGATGGGCATAGGGTGAGGGGATGGCACCAGCTCAGCCCGGGGACAAGCCTTTGGCCCGTTCTCCATCTGAGCCCCAGCCCGGTTCCCGCTCTGCCGGGGGGCCCTCAAAGGGCCTGATTGTGCTGGGAAGCGTTGGGGCCGCGGCACCCAATGAATGCATGAAAAGATGCTTTGTGCAGGTTGGCAGGAGCGGGGGCTGGGGGCTCAGGGGCAGGAGGGCTGCCTGGAAGTGAAGGCAGCACCAAGCCACAGGGCCCAAGGGTGCTGGGTTCCGGCTGGACCCACACGGGGAGGAGAGCTGGACCTAGGCAGGGGGTGGGGAGAGGCAGCCTTCAAGGCTCTGTATGGGCAGAGGCTGAGCATGGCCAGTGCCCACCATGGCCAAGGCCACAGGCCAGTCTCATCCCGGGGCCTCATCCCAGGGACATGCGCAGGCAGATGAAAGCTGGATGGGCCGGGGAAGAATTCCTGAGTGAGGCAGGGAAGCTGACGGCGGCGGCCGAGCAGGTGCAGAAGACAGAGGCTGCATCCTAACAAGAAGAACTGAAGAACTGGGACGGTGGGTAGGGGCTGCTGGCACAGTGGGGGAGGGGAGCCAGTCCAAGGACACAGCAACCCCTGCCGGTCAGTGTCCTAAGGAGGAGAAGGAGGAGGGGCCTGGGAGCAGGAAGCACCCCCTCCTCCACCTGGCTTCCCCATCCTATCCCGCTAGCTTGGCTAAAAGGAGCACCACCACCGTCTGGCACTGCATCTCCCCTCCTCACTCCCCAGCCTGACGCATTAGTGGCTGACTAAGTGGTAGCTAAAAGCTCCCAGAATAACCAGGGGTTCGGGCAGAGGAGGGGGCTAGGGGCACACGGGGAGGACATGGCCCCTGGGGCAGGCCAGGCACAAGACAACTCCTCCCCCATGCTCTACCCCGGCCCTCCCACCTCACCACCATGTGACTGCGAGCCAGGCCTCTCTCAGCACATGCGGACTGCTCTGTCCAGGGTTGGGCTCTATGGCCCCAGGCCCACGCCAGCGTGAGGGTCACATGGCATGGCAGGGCTAGGGAGCAGCCGCTTCCCTCAGACACAGCATCGCTACCTCCAGCCAGGGCGTTCCCTAGGAGCCCTCTGGTCCCCGGGCAAAGAATCAGGCCTGATTGCTTTGGGGGCTCAATCTCCCCATCCCTGCTCCAGCCACCAAGTGTTCAGGACAGGTGTCCCCAAGCAGGTCTGCCTCGTAGGGCATCATTCCTTTCCTGACTCACTCTGTGTGCTGTCACCACTTGGTCCCATATCCTGGATGACTGAGACACAGGAGGACAATCCTAGTATGTGTGTAGAGGGGTGGGATGGGGGTGTTGCCCTCAGCAGGGGCACCAGGGGTGGGGTCCCACATTCTGGTTTAACCCACTGACCTCCGGGTGCCAAAGGCTGGATGGAATGTGAGCTGTCCAGTGTAAAATGCCTCCAATTACAAGAAGGCAAAAGAGCAAGCCAAGGTCAGCTGGGAGAGCAAGAGGGGAAGTGGGGGCATATCCGGTCCCAGCCAGGCCTGCCTCACAATAGAACAGGGAAGGCCCAACCTGGGCCCTGGAGTACACGGCACCCTTGGGAATTACAGGAAGGGACAGCAGCTGAACAGTCGCCGAGCTGAGCAGGCTTGAGGCTATGGAGGCTGTGCCACTGGCCCTGCAGTAAACAGCCAAGGGTCCAGCCCCATCTTCCAGGAGAAGGGGATAGAAGCTTAGTTCCCCGTCCCAGTCTTTTCCTGAGAGTTTTCTGTTTCCACGTGCTTCTTTTTCTGCCCCTTTTCACACCCACTGCGTCACCCCTCATTCTGAGCTTCCCTCCCTCCTAGCTGCCACAAATCACTGACACCTGAAGGACATCTCTGCCCACCCGGCCACCAGGTGGGACCCTGGGCTCCCAAGCCAGACCAAATCAGGCCCAGAGGGGTGAGTCACCATGCAAGAGCAGGTGTCCGTCAGAGCTGGCGGGCGGGGCGCCACTGTCTCATTCACCCAGCACTCTGGGGTGGCTCCAGCCAGCGCAGAAGGAAGATCACAGCTGTTGTTAGGGTCCTGGCAGCACCAGGCAAGGCCAGATTCCAGATGGCTACCAGCTGCCAGGGCAGGTGACTGGCCTTCAAGATCCAGGGAGGAGCAAGCTGGGGCTGGGAACGCCCACTGGAGGCTGCTATGACCTTAACCAAACGGCAGGACGGGACGTGGGGGAGGAACTGGGTCTTCCTGAGTTCAGTTTCCTTTCCTGTGGACCAGGGATGCAGTGGGGCTGGTCCTTCTCCAAGCCCAAGTTTGGGGTCCACAGTGATTCTTAGGTGGAATCCCACAGCAGGTCTGGGTCAGGTGCATGTGAGGCAAAGGTGAAGGCAGAGGAAGCTGCCACCCTCTTCTGTCTCCCGTGAATCGCTGGTCAGACTACATGACCAGGTCTACATCCCTCATCCCCTCCATTTACACACGCGATGACAAAGTCCCTTCCAAGCCACCAAGGGCCAGTTCTCTGTGCCACTGAGTTTCAGGGGTGGGCAGAAAAGGGGCAGTGTGTGTTGGGGGAGAGGAGACAGCAAGCCTGGCAGGGGTGCGGGGGAGCCTTGGCAGGACCCAGGAAAGTCAGGGATCCCAGGTCCTGTCCAGCTTCTGCCAGCGCTTCAGCCCAGCAGTTTCCCGCTAAAACCCCCAAGTCACAATGACCAAGGTCAGCTGGTGGCAGAAGGTGGGCAGATGTAAGGACCTGCTCCCGGGCCCAGAGCCAAGGCAGCGGTGTGGGAGAGGGCACAAAACAACCACTCTGGAGGTAAGAAGAAGGGCTGGAGGCAAGGAGACGGTGAGGAACAGGAGGCAGCCTGGCCCAGCCTAGGAGGCGACAATGCAAGGACAGGCAGCTAAGGGCATGGCCTACTAGAGGAAGCAGAGATGCCAAAACAGAGATGACACTGGCGACCTGACTCCCACACAGCGCCTGCTACGTGTCAGATACCTTATAAGCACTTCTCACAAGGTGGCTTCTCTTCCCACACCCATTTTGACAGATAGGAATAGCGAGGCACACAGCTAGAAGGGAGG